CCCCCCCAAATCCCTAAACCACTAGCCTCTTCTCCTTCGAATCCCTCTCAAGCCCCTCTCCTGCTGCAACTCCTACAAGAAATCTGCTGGCAAATAATGACTCTGGTGGGGGAGGGCAGGGGGACATGGTATATTTAAACATTAAGTACCAAATTCTGTGCTGGTGCATATACCCTTTTGGACTAAAGATCTTTGGACAGTCACTCCATATATTGCTATGTATAGCACCTAACACAATGGGGACACCATCCGGACAGAGGCCTCTTGGAACCACTGTAATATAAATAATTAAATGACCAATCCTTCATTACCCAGACTACCATGGTGCAATCTACACTGGTCTAAAGATAGTGGAAGAATTCCCTTCATGCCAGGTTATGCTTTGGATGAGTTTCAGCCATAACTCTACCTATGCTAATTTAAGATATGCAGCCAGCAAAACCTCATCCCGTGTTAATTAAATAAGTCACTTCCTGTCCTCAAATGCACCTCTCTGTCCATCCCAACACAACAGTCACATTTCTCACAGATGCAGGTCCAAGTAAAACCTGTAAAATGTTGCTGCTACACATCATTATTCTGGCTTTGGTTTTGTCTTGTACGTTTCTTTTTTTTACCCTTTTGTACACAGCTGTACATTACTGAGTCACAAATAACCATGCTCCAGATTCATGTTAATTTCTGTTTTCTTTTCTTGCTCTCTTTCTAGATGGATGTGCACAAATACATCTGAGACAAGCTCAGTTGTCCATTACCAGGGCAAAAAATAAAACTGCACGTATAGTCTGTGAGGCTTCTGGCATTCAGAACTTCAGGAGTGCTGTTATACACTGGTATCGACACAGACCTGGTGAAGCTCCAGAGCGGATTCTGTACATCTCACCTGAAAACCTTAAATTTGACAAAGACTCCGATGAGAACAAGTTTAATTGTGAAAAGAAGCCTGACCAGCCCATCTCTACCCTAACAGTACATGAAATAGCTCCTAACGATGGAGCTACCTATTATTGTGCCTATTGGGATCACATAGTATTAGAAAGCCATAGACAGCCTGTACAAAAACCTCACTCTGAATACTGAGCCATATCCCATCAAATGTATGAAACTACAGCTACCCCCTGATTTTGCCATTTGGTTGTAGAAACGCCTCACTAGCTTATTTTAAAAGGTTAAATAAATCTGAGTTTCAATACAAGAACCCTGTAGCAAGCAGCTACAAACAGCCTACTCCTCCCAGCCAGCATTCATCTTTAATTCATCCTTAATTCACCCACCCAGTCCTACCCAGCTGAGCATAATTCTAAATTAGGCCTGGCCCACCCTCCAGATGCAACTGGATGCACTAATTGCTGTCTGCTAGTGGCTCAGGTTAACTCTTTCTTTGCCAGTGTGTGGTATACACTCC